TTTTTTTTAATTTTTGTTGATACGGGACCTCACTTTGTTGCCCAAGCTGGTCTTGAACACCTGGGCCCAAGTGATTCTCCCACCTCAGCCTTCCAAAGTGCTGGGATTACAGAGATGAGCCACTGCCCCTGGTCAAGATAAAGTGATAGATCCATTTGAACATTCTCACCAGGAAAGCCATGACATCTGAGCATGACTCCTGACTTCTACCTGAGCTTTTATTCGCTATTATCACATTGGCTCTCTTAATTCCAGAAGCCTGAACCACACAGCTGTTCATATCCCAGAGAACAGCAAATCCAACTGTTGAGCCTCAAGAAACCTGAAATCTGCTGGCAGTTGAATGCCACCACATTGTTTGTCTGCAATGACAATTAACAGTCCTGAATGATATCAAATGTGATGTGTAATCTGGTGCTTAGCTAAGATTGGGGCCTGGAATCAAAAACAAGGCTATAAAATGAGGCACCTCACAGACTAAGCCAACAGCCTTGTGAGCCCCAAATATTTTGCATGATGCTGATTTCTATACAGGATCTGATTCAATTAAATTCAATCCATTTTAGTCCAACCAATGGATATGCCAAGTCCTGTGCTAGACAGTGGGTAGGAGGAAGGAGAATATGAATAAAATAATCCCTGTCTCAAATGCTCACAGCCTAGGAGGAAGAACATAGGAGCCCCATGATCCAGGTAACAACAGAAGAGTGGCCTGGGTGCAAACACAACAGCGAGGAGAGGAAAGAGCTACCTGAAGGGTCGGGGATATGGACAAAGAGTGGGGTTTAAAGGAAAACCAACAGTTCATCAGGTAGAAGGTGGGAGAATTGCCTCCAGCATATCAACACCACTGAACATCACATCAAATTTCCTTATCCGTGGGTACATTTCAGGCTGAAGACAATATCCATCATTCTTATTTCAACTAGACAGCCACAAGGAAATTTGCAATGTCTATTTCTCACTTTGCACATACATGACAAAATATTGATGAAAAATAACCCATTACTGAGGACTTACTGTGTGTTAGATGTCACAATAGGTATGTTATTCCCATAATAACCCCCTATGTGTTATATATCCTCTTTAAAGATGAAAAACTCTCAGTTAAATCAAGGTCATCTGGCTAGTCAGTGGCTCAGCCAGATTTTGTGGGGTGTTGTTTTGTATTTTTTTTTTTAACATTTCTCACTTTATTCTTATTTCAATAGCTTTTGGAGTACAAGTGGTTTTGGCTACATGGATGAATTGTATAGTGGTGAAGTCTGAGATTTTAGTGTACCTGTCATCTGAGTAGTGCACATTGTACCCAATATCTAGCTTTTTATTCCTCACCCCACACCCATTCTCCCCACGCTGGGTCTCCAAAGCACATTATACCACTCTGTATGCCTTTGTGTGAACATGCCTTATCTCCCACTTATAAATGAGAACATAACGGTATTTGGTTTTCCATTTCTGAGTTACTTCACTTAGAATAATGACCTCCAACTCTATTCAAGTTGCTGCAAAAGACATTATTTCATTCTTTTTTATGGTTGAACAGTATTCCATGATGTATATATATCTCATCTTCCTTTTCCACTCATTGGTCAATGGGCACTTAAGTTGATTCTACATCTTTGCAATTTTGAATTGTGCTGCTATAAATATATGCATACATGTGTCTTTTTTGTATAATTACTTGTTTTTCCCTAGGTAGATACTACTGGGATTGCTGGATCAGATGATACAACTATTAGTTCTTTAAGAAATCTACATACTGTTTTCTGTAGAGGTTACACCAATTTACATTCCCACCAGCAGTGTATAAGCGTTCCCTTTTCACCACACCCACACCAACATCTACTGTTTTTCTGACTTGTTAATAATGCTCATCCAGATTTTGAATCAGATTTATCTAAAGCCAGTGATCTGGCCTTAATCACCACCCCAAACTTCCTCTTTGTAAGTCACCAATATATCTAAACCAATCCCTTGTTTCTCTATTTAATATACATCGTCAAATTGACATAGTTCTCTTTCTGCTACTCTGTGGAACTAGTGCTAAGTGGAACTACTGCTTAAAATTGCTGAGACCAAAGCTCCTCCTTTCAGCATTTACCAAATCATAGAGCAAATGCCAGACCTACACGGGGAAGTGGAAAGATGTTTGGTCTGCAGGACTTGGAGCGATGGAGGAGCTTTCTGTGGCTTGGGGACTCCTCAATTCCAAAGCCTAGTTTTCTTTTTTTTGAGACAGAGTTTCATTCTTGTAGCCCAGGCTGGAGTGCAATGGTAAGATCTTGAGTCACTGCAACCTCTGCTTCCCAGGTTCAAGTGATTCTCCTGCCAAAGGTCCCAATTTTCTAAGTAGCAAGAGGAAGAGAAACTCCACAGCTGAAGTGACTCAAGAAAGAACTTGAGAGTTAATACTTTGCGTGCTTTATTACACTTAGGGTGTTTCTGATGCAGATACAGCAGAACTAAATGTACTCAACGGACTGAAACAAACAACAAAAAAATGCCTTTCCAAAGCTCAGAGGGCATCTAAATATTACCAATTTTTAAATGGTTTATATTTAAAAAAAAATAGGAAAAAAATGAAGGAGAGGGAAAAGTCCACATGAAAACAAAGACCCGCTGAAATGCTAAAAGGTCAAAGATGCAGAATCCCAGCTCTGCCAACTCTTCCTGCTGAGCTGATTAAGACTAACCCTCATCTCCCAGCCCTGGCTCTCCCCACTACTCATACAAGAAAACATTACATGGTGGTCCACTTAATTTCTCCCGATCATCAGAAACAGTCCCTAGACAACTAAATCTAGGATCTTTGAATGTAGTACAATTTTCTTGCTTTAAAGGAAATTATATCAAATTATGGTTGGAGAAAAAAACTGGCTAAGCATTCTTTTAAAATTCAGAACAGTCTAAATTATGGGGTTGCACACACGAGAAGAAAGTTTTGTTTTAATCTGATTTTAAAATCAATCAGTTGAGGCTGCTGCAAGATGAACTATGTAATTAGAGCAAACGACTCTGTTAAATACTGTTACAGCAAAGAAACAAGGTCAGAGTGGAGGGCAGAGACCAAAAAGACCTTTCTTCTGCTTTCTTCACTAAAATTATTTTTCTCTTTAGTAACAGGAAAGGGAAATGCAAACACTATATTTGCATATTTGATGTGCCAAAAAACATCGCATTAAATAATTTTAAAAGTGGATTTCTTACAAAATATTCACTTTATCACTTCTTGTAAAATAAATGTATCCTGGGAAAAGGAAGTAATTGTCCTTGAAAGAGTTACTAAATATACTTATTTACATTTAGCATGGTTTTCTCACACAAAACCCAATGACATCTACAAGGCCTGCAACACGAAGGGATTAATATTTCCATAGAAACAATTCTTTATGGAATGTCCTGATTTTTAGAAATAATTTTCAAGCAATGATGTCCTGTTTATTATTATTATTATTATTATTTTGGAGACTTAGTCTCACTCTGTCTCCCAAGCTGGAATGCAATGGCACGATCTTGGCTCACTGCAACCTCTGCCTCCCAGATTCAAGCAATTCTCCTGTCTCAGCCTCCCGAGTGACTTTTTGTATTTTTAGTAGAGACGGGGTTTCACCACGTTGGCCAGGCTGGTCTCAAACTCCCGACCTCAAGTGATCCACCCGCCTTCTGCTCATTATTTTTAAAAGTTAGCCCAGCATAGTCATTCACAAGCCAGGTGAGGTGGTTCACACCCATAATCCCAGCACTTTGGGAGGCAGAGGTGAGAGGACTGCTGGAAGCCAGGAGTTCAAGACCAGGCTAGGCAACACAGGAGGACCTCGTCTCTACAAAAAATAAAATAAAATAATTAAAAAATTTGGCTGGGCTGGTGCTTTCCACCTGTAGTCTCAGCTACTCAGGGGGCTGAGGCAGGGGGATTGCTTGAGCCTGGGAGGTTGAGGCTACCATCTCTCTCAAAAAAAAATACATGCTTAATCTAGCTACTATTCCCACTTAGCTTTTGGAATTGAAAAGAATTTCAAAGTTTACTAAAAAGCAGGGAAGTGATACAAACATCCAATTTGCACAAAAGTGTTATTATGTCTTACCAGTGGAAATCAGGCATAATTGGGTAAGTTTTAGACACAAAGAAACCAAAATGCCTGAGAGATTGAATTTAGAATGTTCCTCAAATGCTAGTGCTGATCACGAGCTAACATGAGTATCACAGTTTCAAAATGTAAAGAGAACATTTTTTCAGTAAATGTTTTCATTGAAACTGAAACCCAAAAAACAATGCCAGTCATCACAGTATGTAGTAAACGTAACTTTCAGAAACAAGGAACTGACTTGTTTAACAAGAAACCTGTATTCAGGGTTGGTGAAAGTGAACCAGGTCTGATGATGCATATCTAACCACCCAAGAAAGCCAATGAAAGTAAAAAGATTCCATTGGTTCATTAACTATTAAAATGCAACACCAAAGACACAGCCCCTTTAAAGCCTTGACAACAAATATTAACTTATTACACATACAAATTATGCCAAAACTAGCAAGCTTGTAATACCAGCAGCAATGCTGCTATTCAAATAATAAACAGGCAAAGTTGTTCCTGCTGGTTAAAAGAATGAAAAATAGCTTAAGGAGTCAATTTTCAAGTACACGTAAAATGCAGTAAGTTGGGACATGGAAAAACTGAAAGTAGTAAAAGTAATTCAGTTACCAGAAAGGGATATAAAAATAATCAGCTCATTCAATGAAAACATAATGCAGAATTAGGTCAGCAAAGCTGAAAACATAACACAGAATTAGGTCAGCAACACAGACCTAGAAACCTGCTTCCTGTCTCCTGAATCCACACATAATTCAGTCCATGCTGGCTTCTTTTTCACGAACCAATCCAAGGATAAAAAGCTAGGACAGAAACACATTCAGGTGAAAGGAGGCCCCTCCTTCCATGGGTGTCAAATTATATCAACCTACGAGGCAGACTCTCAGAGTCATGGTCGCTATAACTTACAGCTGAATGGAACATAAACTGTCTCCACGAATAAATTCTGTTTTCATTGCTTGACCCAGGACCAGCCTTGGAAACTTCTTCCACATCTGTGACCAGAGACTCTGCCAGAAAGAGAGTAAGGTCGGAAAATCTAGCTCTTCCCCGTCCCTTCAAAACTCCAGGTGAGGTAGAGATCTTAAATGCGTTCAAGGACAGCAGCTGGGTGCGTGAGGGGGTGTGTCCCATCTGGTCCTGGTTAAGACTTGCAAGAGCAGGGCTGGCTCCTCTGTCCATCTCCCTTTTTTCTCTTTTCTACACCACACCCAAATGGCTCGAGCTGGTGGCCAGAGATAAGAGCTCAGAGACATATCTACCACTAGCTGACGGGCTCCCTGCTTGCCTATTGCTTCCTTTAAAGGGACCATTCGTGCATTTACCCAGGAACTGAAACCGACACACACCCTATTCTGCTGCTATTGCCATGTTTCTTTCTCTCTCTCTCTCTCTCCACCTGATCCTTCATTCCTGCCTCTCATGTGACCTAGGGACCAAAGACTCCTGGTGCCCTCCCTGCCCAGGAACTGTTTAAGTGACAATCTTTGGACTTGTTTCCTATTAGGGTACTGTACTGAATTTGCACCTTCGATCTGAAGAACTAGGGGCTGCCCTAGGCCTGATTTTTTCCAGGACACTGAGAGCACAAAGTCAGGCTCCCAGCGCCAGAGTGACAGTCAGGCAGCCATAAACTGGACCTGATCAGACAAGAGTCATGTGGGCACATCTGCCAGTATAAACAAGGTTCCTGCGAGAGAGCCCTCCTGGTCACGGGTCAGACAACTAGGCGTTAGACCTCCGGCCAAGCAGACATACCCTGTGAAGGGCACACAGGGAACACCCATGCCCAGCACCCCTTCACTTCCCATCAGGGCAGCATTGTTAACTGCTCTGGTACTGGAACCTCAAGTTAGCTGAGGGCTCTCAGAACACCCGGTTCTCCTTCTCTCTCCCATTCTCCCCAGATTCCAGGGGTTCTCATGGTGTAGTATGAGGCTGCCACATACGTGCCCAAAATGGCAACCCTTCGCCACTCTCCACTCCAACTCCACAATTCCTGCTTCATTAGTTCAGCTGGGGCGGATGGAGCTGGAAAATGATCTGATATTCTACTTCACATTACAGTAATACTTAATAAAGTAAATGACTGACAGCTTCTTCTCCCCACCTCAAGTCCCCATGCGCTCTCTTAGCTAAATCAAACAGATCTCTAAGTCTGTGTATTTTAGGCAGTGTGGAGAAGGAAGGGGGAGATAGGTTTTGAGAATGGGAGGCTCGTTTTCTGTGTCCTGATCAATTATACCACTTGCTGGCCTTGGAAGGAAGCATGGTATTTCCTGAAGGGCAAGAGAATGGTACATCATGCCTACTCTCTTTCTCTCACCGCCACCCAAGGAGTGCAAGTCGGACCACGTCCTCCCATCTCCTCTCTGGTCTTCTAACATTAACAGAAACATTAAGTCCTGACACATGCTTCACCACGGATGAACCTGGAGAACATTAGGCTACATGAAATAAGCCAGTCACAAAAAGACAAATACACAAAAGGACAAGTAAATATGATTCCACTTACACAAGTTACCTAAAGTAGTCAAATTCATTAGAGACAGTAAGTAGAATGGTGATCGCCAGAGGCTGGGAGAGGAGGAAATGGAGAGTTGCTATTTGTGGTTATGAAAAAGTAATTCACAGGCTGGGCATGGAGGCTTTTGCCTGTAATCCCAGTGCCTTTGGGAAGCTGAGGCAGGAGAATTGCTTGAGCCCAGGAGTTCAAGACCAGCCTGGGCAACACAGGGAGACTCTGTCTCTACAAAAAATACAAAAATTAGCCAGGGATGGTGGCACACACCTGTGGGTCCCAGATACTCAGGAGTCTGAGGTGACAGGATTGCTTGAGCCTGGGTGGTTGAGGCTTCAGTGAGCCAAGATAGTGCCATTGCACTCCAGCCTAGGAGACAGAGCAAGACCCTGTCAAAAAGAAAGAAAGAGAGAGAAGAAAGAAAGAGAGAGAAGAAAGAAAGAAAAAGAAAGGAAGAGAGAGAGAGAGAGAGAAGAAAGAGAGGAAGAAGAAAGAGAGGAAGAAGAAAGGAAGGAAGGAAGAAGGAAGGAAGGAAGGAAGGAAGGAAGGAAGGAAGGAAGCTAGCTGAGGCAGGAGAATCACTTGAAGCCAGGAGGCAGAGGTTGCAGTGAGCCGAGATCATGCCACCACACTCCAGCCTGGGCAACAAAGTGAGATTCCGTCTCAAAGAAAAATTAAAAAAAGAAAGAAAAGAAAAAAAAGAGAAAGAAATAAAAGAAATTTACTTATTGCCACTGAATTGCACATGTGAAACTGGTGAGCTGGTCAGTTTTATATGATGCATATGTTATCATAATAAAAAATACAACAAAAGAAATGTTTAAAAAGGGGGACAACCTCACTCATTCCTCCCCAACCCCTACCTCACCCATTCCTCACCAAAACCAGTTTTAGTCCTAGGACTTCAGCATCTATTCATACTCTCTGGTTCTACTAGGGGTGGACACATTTGTCACCCCGAAGGCGCCTGGCTCCTAGAGCCCTCTATGGAGCAACACAGAGAGAGCCTCGACCCTCTCCTGAGTTGGTCTTAGAAAACAAGTCTGCCAGGGAGCTGAGGCTATTTTTCCTCCTTGCATTTTTGTTTTCTCCAAAAGTGGACCCCATTCCTCCCACACTTGTTCCTCATGCCCCTCTATTCCATCCCCAGGCCAAACTCTCAAGGGCTGGTTGTCTGAGTGACTGTGAGTCCCTGTTCACTTTTTTCCAGGTAAGCCAGAGTGTAACATAGACGAATCCATTTCCAACCCTGCGTGGATTCCACTGGACTCTTGGGAGCTGGAATGGAATTCATTAAATAATTGGGCCAGCCACTAGGAAAAAAATATGCAGTGCAATTTTCTCTACTTCTTTCCCATATGCTTCGTATCTATGTGATAGTATTCATTCATTCACTCATGGGGATATTACTCACTATTATCCATGCAGCCGTCTTGCACAGCTGTACAGTACAATGGTTTACAGCACATTATCTCTGCACTAGACGTGTGACCATGGTCAGTCTTTTCAACACCAAGTGCCTCGGTTTCCTCATCTACAAAGTGTAAACAACAGTCGTGCCTATCTCATAGAATTGTGTTACAAAATTTAAATGTGTCCTGCATAAAAGGTTTGGGAAACATACCTAGCACATCAAGAGCATTCAAAGTAAGTTGTTATCTGAATCGGTTTATCATACTCAATTTTCATTGCTTACTAACAATGTGTGACATTTTTTACCCTCAATGCTTGACACGTTTGACAACTAAAATGCGCTTCTGAAGATTTAATCTGAAATAAAACAGTATTATCATGACCACTCCAGCATGGGGAGGGAGAACACCAAAACATTTGTATTGCATTTCTCCATGTCTTAGGAATACCAATGTATAAACCGTCCACTGCTGAAATGTGTAAGTCAATCTGATAGAGTATATTTCCTTCTGTAAATCAAAGCAGGATTCTTATAGTCTAAAGCGCCCTCTAGTGCTCCTATGCAAAAACTCCCAAGATAATGTCCCATCCCTATAACCAAGGTCTTTTTCTGCCCTGGACAGTCCTGGTTAAGGCGTATTGTCTCTCTAAGTTGTCTGGGTTAACACTTCCCTGGATTGTTTCACGTTAATGGAGAGTTATCATTAATATTTGCACTAAAATAAGACAGGATTGGTTTCGTAGCCCTTCATTTTATGCTTTCAGCTTTCACTGCTGTCTTGTGTCTTGTGTAGCATTGTGCGAGACAGATATGAGTAGTAAGCAAAGATGTCACATGTGAGGCTAGGCATGGTGTCTCACGCCTGTAATCCTAGCACTTTGGGAGGCCAAGGTGGGTGGCTCACGAGGTCAGGAGATCGAGACTATCCTGGCTAACACGGTGAAACCTCATCTCTACTAAAAATACAAAAATTTAGCCGGGAGTGGTGGCATGCGCCTGTAGTCCCAGCTACTCGGGAGGCTGAGGCAGGAGAATCGCTTGAACCTGGG